CTTCGAGATCCTCTCCAGGATCGGTCCGGTTGCCTATAAACTTCGTTTACCTCACGAACTCAGTAACATTCATCCTGTTTTCCATGTTTCAAATCTCAAAAAGTGCCTATCCGATGCCCTAACGATTCCCATAGACGAGATCGAGATCAATGAAAACCTCAACTTTGTGGAGGAACCGATCGAAATCATGGATCGAGAAGTCAAATGTACAAAGCAAAGTTGCATCCTGTTAGTGAAGGTTCGCTGGAATGCCAAGCGGGGACCGGAATTCACTTGGGAGCGGGAAGACTCAATGAAACAGAAGTATCCACAACTCTTTCCAGATCCACGATTTGTATCTTGTCTCGTGTTTTATCTTTGAATTTCAGGACAAAATTCCCTCTAACGGGGGGAAAATGTGACTACCCGAAAATTCTTTCCATTATTGTAACTCGTTCCGTTATTAAATTCGTCGTTTCCCTATTAATTCCGTTTACGTTATTAAATTAAGTCATGGTATTTGGGTTGTTTATTATGACTTAATGGTTGTTCAAACATAAAAATAACTCAAGGAAATAATTCTAAATAGATATTAGTAAATTATTCTGTCGCTAAAACTGTTCCCATCGAATAAAACCGTCGTATTCAATTCGTCCCGTTAATCTTTGTTTGAAATAAATTATTGCGAATTTTATTAATGTTTTAAAAGTGTTGTAATACATTCCTAAGACATTAAAATATTTTCAATTTCATTTAGAAAATATTTGGTTTTATTTAAGTCGTAAATACGGCAACTTTATCGGGTGCGACCAAAAGCATCGTATATCGGCAGTATCGGGTAGAATTCCACCAGGCCACAAAGTCAACCCCTATATAAGGGATTGAGTGACATCATTTTGAGGCTTTTTCGTCTCTCTAAAAACTTTCTCTCTCTACTCTCTCTCTAGAAGTCGAACTTGATCCAAAAACTCTCATTTCAAGCATCCTTTGGTAAGCAATTCATCATAAACTTGTTATTGAACTTGAATAGCATGCAAATCCATGTTGGAATCACCTAAAACACATATGAACATGTTTTTATGGTCTACGAACCCTCCTTAGGCCGTGAACACCTCATATGAGGGTTTTGAAGCCTCAAAACCCCTCCAAAACACTTCTAGGGCTTAGATTCGGCCTAGAAACTTACATGCATGAGCTTAGGACCCCAAATCGCACAAAATGAGGCTTGAACATGAGTTTACAGCCCAAGCATGTTCTTGGACCGTAAACCCTCATTCATAGACCTTAAACACCTTGTTGGGTGTTAGTTTGCCCCTAAACACCTCCAATGGACTTCCGTGAGTGCATAGAACCTTGTAACCCTTCAAGAAATGCACCAAATCATATACAAATGGGACAAACTTGAGTTTATGGTCCAAGAACATTGTTGGACCATAAACCCACCTTCTTAGGCCGTAAACACCCTCCAAAGGGTGTTATGGTGCCTTAAACCCCTTGAAAAGCTTAGTTTTGGACCTAGAATCACATGTGATTGAATTGCATCAACCAAAGCCCTTGATTCATGGACAAACATGAGTTTATGGTTGTAAACTCATGATTTTAAGGTAGTAAAATCCCCAAGAACATCTCCTTAGACCTTAAACTCATTTCCCAAGGTCATTTGAAGTCCCGATCACTTCCTAAGCCATGGAATCGACCCTAGAACTTCCTGTGTGCATTGTTTGACCATTTGGCATCCAATAACTCACCACCCATGAGTTTACGACTGTAAACTCATAGGGATATGGTCAATGGGCCGTAAACTCCTCAAGGAGCTTACTCTTGAAGAGTAAACTCCATACTTAGTCCCTACACACCCTTAGATGCTACCCGAATCACTCCTAACACTTGAATTGAAGTGTTTTCACGTCTTGGAGTGCATAATCATGTCTAATTAGTGGTTCAAAGTCTAATTAGATACAATTGTATATCATTTCATATTACATAGGAACCTCACGCGTTATCAAGCCTCGAACCAACGCCTAACATCCAAATCGACTCGTTTTCTCGTCTGGTGAGTTCATACCCCTACCCTTTTTCATTGTTTTCATTGTTTTCAGGGGGGAACACAAGCAAAGTATAAGGGATTACTTGTACTCAAAAACATGTTTTCAAATGTGTGCTTCACATTTTATATGCTTTTAACACTAATTACTACAACTGATAACCGTTTGAACATGCAGACCACGTAAACCTATATTTGTGAAATGGGTTTTAAACTGTTATGTTTTACATATATTTCACAAATGGCTTTCCACATTTTATCAGTTAAAAGAATGACATTAGACATTTGAACATAATACATGTACACTGTTTTGTCCTCGGTAACACTCCACATATATACGCGAGTGGAGGACTATCATATTATTACTAGTAAATTTGTTAATCCTGTATGATTGGAGACACGTCCTCGGTGAACACTCCACAGAGATACGCGAGTGGAGGACTGCACCCATAACCAGAATCTCTGTGATTTATAGAGCGTGACTTGAGTGTATAGATCTATACGGGGCTAACTACCCCACACCTAGCTGCTAGCTACAGTCGAACCGAAATGGTTCAAGGGTGACGAAAGTCATAAGTATGTGGACTACATATTGCCACAGGTTTAGTCCAGTGTATGGTTATGGAACTCGCAATTAGGATAACAGAGATTTACTTATAGTAATAACGAACAACTTATTACATCTTTCAAATACGGTAACCTACATTCAGGAAAGTATGGGACTTTCCTGGGAAACTTTGTACATAACCAGGTCTAACAGGAATACATCTTTTACATATGGTAACAAACATTCAGGAAAGTATGGGACTTTCCTGGAAATACATTAGTACATAACCAGAACAGTACGTCAAAACAGATAACCTAACTTTACATTTTCACAAAAGTAAATATGTTTTTAGTGTACAACTCTACTTTACATGTTGACAAACGATAACCAACTTTATTAAGAAAATATGGGATTTTCTTGGTGTACATAACATTTCAGAAACAGAAAGGAAACTTGAACAATTTCACAAACAAAAACCGCGTATGAACTCACCAGCGTTATGCTGATTTTCAAACCGCTTGTGTTCTTAGGTCAGCATTAGAACAGGTACTCGAAGATCCTTTTGTCAGAAGACGGAGTTTTCAGAAGACCCGTTTCATTTTGTTCATATATATATGAAGACCTGTTTCATTTTGTTCATATATATTATGTGTCACAACTGTACAAATTTTACTTTTGAAACAACTGTAAAACTTTTCTAATGTAATGTAATGGTTGTTCTACTTTACTTACTGTGTGCATTGGATTTGATACTCAACGTGGATTCAACCCCGAAAATGTTTTCGTCTTCGGTTTTCGGGGTGTGACAGAGTCTAACTGTGATATCTTGCTCCTGCACTCTGCCAAATCCTTAATTTCCAATGCAAACCCAAGTTCCAGTAATTTCTTAATTTCTTTCTTTAAGAACTGAAGTTTGGAAGCTAGGAAAGCATCGGCACACCCATGACCTTTAAAATTATTCCATGCCTCCACTACAACTTCATGAAAACCCACCCTGGATATCCAAGAGTTAAAAAATCTGAATGGTCTTGAACCAAAGTCCTCACCAGAAGTTTTCAGTACAATGGGACTATGATCAGATAGTTCTCTAGCGAGGACTGTTACTCAGGGCTCCGGGAAGGAATCCATAAATTTTCCACATACTAGAAATCTATCCAGTTTGCTCATCTTACCACCATCTTCAGGTCTGAAAAAAGTGAACTTATATCCCCCCATTCTTAAATTGTAAAGATCACATGATTGAATAAATTCATTGAAATCAGCAACAGACACATCACAGAATCTGGAATTTATACTCACCTCACGCCAACGAACAATGTTAAAGTCCCTAGCCATGATCCATAACGCCGATCTACTAGATATTATTTGAGCTAATTTTTGCCATAATCTTCTCTTTTCAACGGGGGAATGAGGTGCATAAATATTAACGATAGCTATGTCAATGTTTATGACCACCCAACGACCAATTACAATCAGGAAGTACCTTGATTTTATTGTGTGTATAAGCCTAAATGCTCAATCGTCCCATATTGTGATCAACCCTCTAGATCTCCCAGTTGCTTCGATTAATTCAAACCGAAAGTTGCCATCGGTCCAACAATTTCGAATATTTAATTGTAGCGAAGAGGCCAAACCTAGTTGAGATTCTTGAAAACACATCACTGAGATCTTTTGCTCTATGCATAATCTCCTCACCCACCTTTGTTTTGGGGCATCCCCAATTCCTCTAACGTTCAAAGAGAGCATATTCATTGTGGTTATTGCTCTCGCCTTCCATACCCAATAACTCCTCTAATACTTCGTTCCTGATTTCAATGTCCACATCAACCCTCTACCAATTTCTATTGTTAGGGAAGCCTTAGAATTATCAACAAGACGAACAGGAGATTTAATCTGATTCGACGATTGAAACGAGCGGTGTGAGATTGTTTCATCATCGCCAATATTTAAATCATGAGTAGAGTGAGAAGAGTTGCAGGGGTTGCAATTTAAGTCTAGACGTGAAAGGGAAGAGCGTCGCAACTTCTTTCTAGTAGATCCATCATCTATCGAATCAATCTCCAGCTCCGAATCATCTTTCTTTTCATTTAGAGGCCCAAACGATTTTGGTAGTTTCCTACCACCCATATTAATAGGCCCACTTTTGAATGTCCCAAAACATCCAAGTTTTACTAGGTCCGGGTTTAGCATACCGATATTCGCGTTATTTACCACCTGGGTAGCAACGACGTTTGAGTGGTCAACTAGTTGGTCATCAACTCTATCCACCCGTTGGCATTTATCCATTGGAGTCGGTTGGAATTCCACATGAGTTGGATCTTCCCCCGATGGTCTAGCTTCACAGATCGGCATTTCCCCGCCTTAGTTCTGATTTCCGGCGAAGGATCACGTCTTACATCCATCGCATCCATCACTTCGTCTCCGGTGAATTCACCATGTCGGAATTCTCCTTCTTTCCAATTCATCCTCAGGTAAACCTCCATTAGTAGGTTTCCATCCTGATGAAATATTAGTTTCTAAAATACCTTCATCCTCATCCTCCGAATTTGAATCTTCATTCTTCTCTAAATTCTCCAAATCACCGGATCTATCGTGCCCGCCATAATCATCCATCGACCAATTTCCTGATGGAAAAGGAGACCATTTGAAGTCAACTTCAGAGATTCCCACCTTTAGTATATTTTTATTAAATTCCACTTCAACCTCTTTATTGATTCTTATCTTCCTTTTTGTAAGGACACAAATCTTACCACACGACACATCTTGTAGACGCATTGAAATTTCGGATGGACTTAGCACCTTCCCGACCGTCCCTGCAATTCGTTCAAAATTTCCTTCAGTCCACATATGTAGTGGTAGACTAATTATCTTCAGCCATGCAATTCTTCCCGGCAATGCATCATAGGAGTTCCCCAGTTTAGTTTCCCTGAACCATTCCCTCCAGTAATTCTCATTCTTAAGGAATTCGCCAACGTCACCTTCACTCCTAAACTGAATCCCAACCAATAGGCCTCCCAAGTATTTCATTCCATAAGCAGAGGAATGTCCTAGCCTTATCCTTGTTGGTAAGTTCATTAGATGTTCTAGCCTGTGTACGACACCAATTAAAGTAAGTGGACTATCAATCTAATGAGCCCAGAACGAATCAACCTCAAGGAAGATAGGTTTTCTAGTTAACTCTGGAGGAGGAGGAAGCGCGGGTGGACCTTCACGCCCAGATAGAACTGCAGCAAAGGATATGCCGTCTCGGAACGATCCCATAGCATTTTGGTGCAATTTTCTCATGTTCGTTTCGAGGCTCTGATCCATCCTGGATCTCGTGGATGCGGCTTTCCTTTCAAACTTTGCCACGTTGATCTCCAGTATTGCACCCATAAAATTTAATCCTTGCAGAGTCATTTCCAATTGCATCTCATCCTTCACCTCTTTGAATCTGAAAAAAGCAAAAAAAAAAATGTTTGAATCTTTCTTTGTTGCCATGTACACATCAGAGATGATTCCATGTCTTGAGAAAAGCTTCTTTACAGTCTCCTTTCTAGATCCATCCGGCAGATTGGTGACAAACATAGTTGTTACATCCGGAGCTTTTTTTGTCGCCATTGGTGATTTCCTTTACTTGGAGGTTACCAATCTCGTGTACTAGGTGTGGGCAACATGTTATCATATGTTACCGCACCCAAAAGGTGCCATGTCAGCATCCTACTTATACATGGTGTTATAACACCCAAGGTGGAAATGGGCAACATCTAATAACATGTGATAACACCAATTATTTTCTATCTTATTTTTTATTTTATTTTTTTGATGTTTTTTTCTATATTTCAAATTTGTTTTTTTTTATTTATATTTGAAAAGTAAAAAAATAAAATTTTAATAAATCTTAATTAAAAATAACATTAAAAAAAATTACAACAAAATACAAAAACATTTAAAACCTAAAAAAAAAAACAAAAACAAAAAAACAAAAAAGATGATAAAACCTACATTTTTTTCCCTAAAACTATTCATCTTCATCTGCGTGACCAACATAGATGTAATCCGTCAAGTCTTCACGGAGTTGCTTGTGTTTTCGCTGATCTTGAATATCAACCACTCTGTGTAAATATTATGATGTCCCCGGTTGAAATTGCACATGTCTTGGTTCCGTAGGAGAATACGTTTCAATATTGTGTCCTTTATCTTCAACAACCATGTTATGCATTATGACACATGCATACATGATATATCGTAGAGTATCTAACTCATAAGGTCTCGCCGCATGTTCAACAATGTGCCATTTTGATTTCAAAACCCCAAAAGCACGTTCAACGTCCTTACGTGCTCCTTCTTGTTGTCTCTTGAAATATTTGTCCCTTGGATCTATTGGGTGTCGAAACGCCTTCACAAACGTAGAATATTGTGGATATATTCCATCTGTAAGGTAATACCAAAACTTATATTCATTTCCATTCACTGTGAAAGGAGCATCCGGGGCTTTTCCTGACAAAAGATCGTCAAATATCGGTGATTGATCGAAAACGTTGACGTCGTTGTTAGAACCCGCAACCCCGAAAAAAGAATGCCAAATCCATAAATCTTGTGAAGCAACAGGCTCTAATACTAACGAAGGCGCTCCATGATGACCGCTCGAATACTGGCCTTTCCACGCCATGGGGCAGCTTCTCCATTTTCAGTGTGTGCAGTCAATGCTCCCAAGCATAACCGGAAAACCATGTCTTTCTTCATGCGCCGCATATAATTGTTGCATATCATGCAACGAAGATTTGCGCAAGTATTGGTCACCGAATGTTTCGACAACACCTCTTTCCAATAAATACAAACTTTCTCGTGCGTTCCTCTCAGACATTCTCATATAATCGTCAACAGAATCGGGTGACTCGCCCATTGCCATAAGTTTAATTGCAGCAACACATTTTTGCAACCCTGTGAAGCCTCGTTTGCCTCTAGCATCATATCTCATTTGGAAAAATTCAGAACTAAATAAATATTAAACACATAAAAATTATATTTATTTTTATTTAAAAGTAACATTTTATAAATTATAAAAGTTGAAACAAACGATACCTAAATATATAGTAAACAAACGATACCTAATTAAATATTAAACATGTAAATTTGTATTTATTTAATCTAAAAGTGATATTTTGTAAATTATAAAACTTGAATCAAACTATATCTTGTTTCCATAGCGTTGGATATCCTTTCGAAGACATTTTTTCACAAACAAAATCTTCTTTTGAAATTGTTTGGCTGGTAGACACAATTTTCCGCAAAGTAATCGTTAACTAGCCGCCGATGCCCTTCCTCACGATCTCTATTTAACGCTGCACGTCATGTGAGTAGTGGAGCTGAATCTGGCTGTAGTAGTGTCTATGTAATACTGGTGCATCATACTCACGAACAAATCGTCTTCGTCGTTATCATCATTGTACGGATGGGCTGAATCAAATTCATTCATAGTTGGTTGATTTTTGTGTTTGTCTTTTGAGTGATATAGAAATAGAGATAGATATAGAGAAATATGTGTAGTAAAAAGAATGAGGTATATATAAAAAACAAAAATGTAATTGGTAATTTTTTTTTATTAAAGTTACCATTTTTAAACGGTTGAATTTGCAAACGGTTCGATTTTACACGCGTTACGAGATGTTACCACCATCACACGCCATTTCATATCATCTAATAACAAGAGGGGGTGGTGTTCCCCGTTATGGCGCCGTTATGGCATTGCCACATCAGAGAACGCCATTCCGGCGTTGCCCACACCCGCCCCTCTAAGAAAGACTATATTGTAATGTTGAAGGATTTTATAAATACATCCGTTTAGTACGATGGATACAGAATACATACCTATGATTTGTCGGAAATGCCTAATAAAGTCCACCGGAGAAATTCCATTTCAAAAATGGTTTGTGTAACAAATTCGGAAAATTTTAAGAAAAAAACTTAATATTTTAAGAAATTATTGAAAAACAAAAAAAATAATATAAAATTCCCGAAACGATCTTATTTATTGCGTATGTGACACGTCAAGTTGGTATTTTTTACATTGCGCGTCACGTCAGTTTGTTATGTTGAATTTAGCATTTTTAATATTTTCAAGTAACACGCCAAGTTGGAATTTTTGCCAACATAAATTGTCTATGCGACACACCAAGTTTGATTGAACTTTGTGTGCTCAAATAGAAAGGGTCACAACCATAACCACCAAGCTAGATATTGTTTCATGTCCTTACCTCTAATTTCATTTATAGATATTGATAAGTCACAAAGCCATAAAGAGAAAAAAAGGAAGAAAACAGGATTCAAACACCAAACCTCCACCACCAAGTACCTAAAATGGTGAATCATAGAATATTGTATGCATTTTTTAATTCTTTACAATTGGATATACATTGCATAAATAGGTAGAGAATATAAAGGGAAATAAATTATTCTAGGATATGTATTTAAGAATTACCATAAAGATACAACAACTTAAGAATAATCTAGAGAACTAATTTTATTTTATTGGGTTATTGTGTACGTTATACACCCCGAAAGATGGAGGATCCATCAGATATTCTAATCTTGGAGCAAAGGTGGAGAAAGACGTTGTGTCCAAGTGGTTTGTTAAGAGCATCAGCCAGCAAATTTGTGGAGTTGATATGTAGAACTCATAGTGACCTATCAGTCACTTTTTCTCTAAGAAAATGATAATCAAAGGCCACATGTTTCATTTGTGAGTGATACATCGAATTCATGCAAAGGTAAGTGGCATCTGTGTCGTCACAGAACAGCATGGTGCGATTTGTTTTGGTGATGCCAAGGTCTGGTAGTAAGTTTTCAACCCAAGAGGCTTATGTTGCGGCATTTGCTAGAGCTCTATATTCGGCAAGCGTGGAGGAGCAGGAAACAGACTTATGTTTTGTTGAGTGCCATGAAATGATGTTAAATCCAAAATATAAGATATATGCATCGATGGATCGTCCACTAATTAATACCACTCCCCAATCCGAATCTACGAATACCTTTAGATCAGGAGTGGAGTTACAGTTTAGGAACATATCATGATGGATTGTACCCTTCAAGTACTTGAGTAATTGCTTCAATGCTTGTCAATGTGTTTCAGTTGTTGAGTGCATGAACTGAGAAAGTTTGTTAACAACAAATGAGATATCCAATCTGGTGAAAGCTAGGTATTGTAAGGAGCCTATGAGTTTCCGATAGGATACCAAATCAACTTGCAGGGAACCGTCCATAGAGGTAAGAACCACTGAAGTGTTTATGTAACACCCTGTTTCGACCGTTTCCTAATTGGGGGCCATGACCAGAAGATCGATTATTATAAGGCTCAGGGCCTTTGGGAAATAGATAATTAGACCCCTTTGAGTGTGGAGAATGTAGATTGGATGACCCGAGAATTCGATTTGTGTTTTAGGAGCCCAATGGTATATCGTTAAAGTGACATTTTGGGCATTTTATGAATTTGGGTTTAAGTTCGAAAATATTTAAGGCAAATGAGATTTTTAAAAATGTAGAGCTTCTCATTACCTTTTCGGGGATATAAGGATCGTCAAAAATAGACTTAGAACGAAGAAGTTATGGCCTTCAAAAGTTTGGTGGTATTAGGGTTAAGCCTAGTACGTTGGGCATACATAGGAGTACATTGCGCGTACTAGGCAGGAGGATCGCGAACACTTTATGGAGTCCGTTGGGCATATTGGGAATACGCGGGGCATAATCCTGCCAAATACAAACTCTAATTTAGGTTCTTGGGACCTATTTAATGGCCTTAACTCAACACCAAAACCACTTATCTTCATCCTCCATCCCATTAAACCCTAGAACGAAAACCTAGCCTCCATTTGTGTGGTTCTTGAGCTTTTGGTGTAATTTAATGCATTTTGTTGCTCATTCAAGAGAAGGATCTTCTTGGAGAAGTGTGGGATTGCTTAAAGCTTATGGATCTAGTCTTTGTACATATTGGTCTACCTTTTGGAGGTATCAATTTTCAAACATTATGGTTCCCTAGTGTAGATCAGCGGGTCCCGCCCGGTCATCAAGCTGAGCTCGGAAACACATAAACACATACACATGTAATATTCACAACATACAAATAGTCATCGGGCTTCTCCCGGCACACCAGACCTTAGTCCAAAAGCATATAAACACAAGTTCATGAAAGAGTCACAAAGACAGCCAACATTCTATCCATATAACATAAACATGGGTCGGCATTAGTGCCTTCGACCTGCTAAACCCGGTAAGGAAACTCACCTCGCACTGTTGAAGTCCCACGTTAAAACTCTAACTGTTGGCTCACAAATCCCCAAACTGTCAACATCAAAACAACACCCACTTAATAATTGGGTTCCAATGCGTAAACATAAATCCATACATAGGGTAAAAAGACCATTTTACCCCCAACTTAGCTTGATCCAAGCCCAAGGCCCAAACTCACACTCTTAAGGCCCAAAAACCAAACAATCAACCAAGGCCCAATATATGGCACAATTTTCCAAATTGGGCCCAAACCCCTTACATGGGCCTAACCCTAAAGCCCATCCAAATATTCTAGTCCATACACTTGTTCTTAGATGGCCCAGAAAGAACCCAAA